CTCTTTTTCTTCTGTAGTTTTTCTAGACAGGGTCTCACTATGTAGCCCTGGCTGTCCTGAAACTCACTCTAGAACAGGGTGACCTCAAACTCACCGAGATCCGCCTGCCTCTGCCTCTCGGCGTGCTGGGATTAAAGGCGTGTGCCACCACTGCCTGGCCCCATTTAGATAATTTGTTTGTAACATGGAGCAACCTTCCTCATGAGAGGTCTGGGAAAGCTGACTCCTCTCCTCTCCTAGTCCAACTACTTTCTTTAAGTAGATTAGTTCTCTAGAGTATGTTTGTTAGTTATACGATGGAAGTGTTAAGATTATAAATATTAGTAACTTTTGGATTTTGTTACTGAAATTAAACTTTTTAACATTGTTCAAGTGACTATATTTCTAAGCCTACAATATTTTAATTGAAAGTCAAATATAAACATTATTTAGAGTTGTAGCGTTTCATTTGACGTCTGCCATGATGTTAGTATTTGCTCTGGTTTCTTTTCTTATTTTGGATAAAATAGACATGTTTGAAACTGCTTTGCTACACAGATTGTTTACTCTGAAATTTTCTTGCATTTTTGTTTGCCAGAAGAAAATGTGTTTGCTAACAATTCCAGCCCTGTTTTGGAGTCAGATAAACAAATATAGAGAGCTGGTTTTTATTTTTCTTTTGGTGTTGTTTTGTTTAATTGCATGGTTTTTCTTTTTCTGTAAACTTTTTCTTCATATGTTCACTCACCAAATGGACCTTGAGTGTTTGTTATGCGTGGGACTGTCTGCTAGTTGTTAGAGTACAAAAAGAACTGCTAAATACAGTTTCTGGATTGTCTGCTTGTAGTTAGAACACAAAACGCTGCTAAAGATAGTTTCTGTAATCTAAGTGCTTTTACTCCAGCTGAAGCTTGTGCACACACACCGAAGAGCTGAGAAGATGAAATGCAAATGATGCTACCCAGAGCGGTACTTGATTAAGTGGCAGAGGACTAAAGCAAGTCGTAAGTGTTGTGACTTCAGAAGGGAGGCCATCTTCTTCATGCATCCTCAGTAGTTGAAAGATCTGTCTTGACTTAGAATTCATGAAAGCATTCACTTCTGAGCCAGATGCCACATTCACACTTCAGTCAGTTAATCTGATGCACTGCAAACCTCGTTCTCAAGTCCCATATTTTTGAATGTTTGCCAAAAGTTTGCCACTTGAGAGTTGGCTTTATGTCTCTGAACAGATGTATATGTCTAGCTTTACGTGCAGTTGAAAGGCAAGGTGACTGTGACCTAACAAATTTGCCTTTGCTGTGTTTGTTCCATGCTGGTTAACCTTCAGAGTAGTCTTCTGTCTAGCAAACATAACATTTTTTGGGGGGACACTGCTTAGATTTGTACATCGAAATACATTTTGTAATTTAGTGCCCAAATCACAATACAGTGTATTTGGACTTTTATTTTAGCATATGCCTTCTCTTTGTGAGAACCAATAGAGCTGAGATAACTTGGAGCCAAAAGATGCTGCTCTTCTTGTACAAGCAGTTTTGTTTTTCGAGACAGGGTTTCTATGTATAGCTTGGAGCGAGTCCTGGAACTCGCTCTGTAGACCAGACTGACCTTGAATTGACAGAGATCCACCTGCCTCTGCCTCCTTAGTTCTGAGACTAAAGACCTGCGCTGCCACCACTGCCACCACCGCCTCCGTGGCTTACACAAGCATTTAATGGACTAGCCATTCCTGAGGACTTTATTTTTGGCAAGTCTTTTTGTTCTCTTTGTATTGAAAGAGCTCTAAGAAATGTTGTAAATTACTTAAATGGATCCAGTTAGATCTTTCTCTTATCATTGGTTGTATACTGTTGTCCCCATTTTACTGTCACCGTTTGGGGTTGGAAGTGTGGCTCAGTGGTAGAACATTTATTTGCCAGCAGTGTAAGCCCTGGGTTCTATCCAAAGCACTGTATGAAATAGTAACAACCACCAACATCTGTTTTCTTTGAGCGGAGTATGGTGGCTTATGCCTATAATCTCAGTACTAGGGAGGATGAGTAGAAGGTTAAGGTCACCCTGCTCTATAGAGAGGTCAAAGTCCTCCTGGGCTAAGTTATCAAAGCCCTGTCTGTCTCATAAATCTTACACTAGGGCTTCCAGCTTTAAAGAGATATGACAAGCTCCTGTTAGAACAGTGAGTGAATGGGGTTCTCTCAGTTACATCCTAGATTTTTTTTTTTTTAAAGCTTTTATCTAATGAAGAGTAGAGTAAAGTGTGTGTCTGAGTCTGGGTCTGGTGACTTACATTTGCAATTCCAGTGCTCAGGAGGCAGAGGAAGGAGGATTACAAATTCAGGGCTGGCATAAACTACATTCAAAGTGCCAAGCTAATCTGGAATCCACAGAGAGACCCTGTACTAGTTACTTTTTTCCATTGCTGTCACAGAATATCTGACAAAAAAGCAGCTTGTGGAAGGAAGGGTTTATTTTGGTTCACAGTTGAGATGTAGTCCATTATTGCAGGGAAATTGTAGCAGCAGGAATTTAAGGCAGCTGTGAATGTAATGTTCACAGTAAGGAGGCAGAGAGATGAATGCTGCTGTCTGGCTGTTTTTAATTCAGCCTGAGACCCCATCACGGGGATGATGCCACCAGCATTCAGTTAGTTTCTTTCCTCAGACCTTTCTGGAAACACCTTCATAGATATAGCCATAGCTGTGTTTCCGTAAGTCTTATTCATCATAAAAATTCAGTCTTATCCATCATAAAAAAACAAACAAGAAAAGTAAAAGGGAAACATTTTAAAAGATATATATATATATATATGTATATATATATATAACTAGGTTTATAGCTATGGTAGAAACACTTGCCCCAGCATGGATAAGTCTTGCTTGGATTCCTTCCCCAGTACAGCAAAGGGGGCCTGGTGGAACAGTAGAATCCCCGGAAGAGACAGGAAGACAGAACCTTAAGGTCATTCTGTATGACTGTATGACTATGGCTATATAGAGAGGCTGATCTGGGTTACATGAGATCTTGTCTGAAAACCCAAAAAGGAAAAATATTAAACAAGCCATGTAGTATAAACGTTGCCATCCAATAAAACTTTTCTGTGATGATGGGAATGTTTGTTTCTGTTAATTCTGCTTGATTGCTATCAGTTACATGTGACTACTAACCCTTTGGAATGTGACTAGGGTGCCCAACTAATTGGATTTTAAATTATATTTAGTTTCAATTAAGTCACTTAACCATCACTGCCCAAGCTCTCAAGCACTTTTAAAAAGGTTCCCTTGGCCACATACTCAGACCTCTAGAGGAAGGTCAGAATTCCTTTTATGTGTGGTGCCATTCTGTTTCTCTGTAGGAGGAGCCTTGTAATGGTACAGTGTTGGAGGTGGAGATTTTAGTTGAAGCACTACAGTATTACCCTCAGTTGACTAGGACAGGTATTACGTTCTTGGTTCTCTAGCACATGAAGTTCAGGAGGACTTTCTGTGATAATAGAAAGACTTTACACCTTCATTACCTGTTACAGCAGACATTTAACACGGGTGCTGTTGAATAACTGAAATGTTACCAGAGTGGCTACAGATGAAATTTCATTTAAATGTGAATAGCCACATGTCTCAGTGCTGTTATATTGGCCAGAGCAAATTTGGAATTAATGATGTGCAAGTTTTTCTGCTGTGTAGTCCCCAAAGATTTGAAGTTCATGTACCCTCTAAAACATTTTTAGGCAGATAGTAAAATTTAAATCAGGGACTGGAGAAATGGCTCAGCAATTAGGAACATTTGTTTCTATTACAAAGGACCTTGGTTTAGTTTCCAGCAACCTCTTAGTGGCTCACTCGCAGCTCCAATTCCAGGGCATCTGTTACCCTCCTGACTTCCATGGGCACCGGGTAAGAATGTGGTGTGCATACATACATGTGGGCAGCAATTACACACATAAGCTAGATAAAATAAATCTAAAAACATTTAAAAATTTTATAGAAAATTACTGATACTTAAAATGCTTAATCTGGTTTGGGATAAGACAGAGATGCTGTAGAATTTATGAATAATGTGCTTTGAAGCTGAAGAATCCTTGTAATATTCTTGTTGGTAAGTATTAGAAGATTTATGGAGTAGGAAATATTCTAGTTTACATTTGAAAGAGGCAGTGTCTTAAACCCATTGTTTTTTTTTGTCATTTTAAATTTAGAGGCCAAACTTTATTCCTAAAAATAAACAGTGGGTTTGTACTAATCTTCAAGGTTTTTAGGTCCCTGATCAATCAGCAGAGGAAAGTAGCTTTTGAATATCTTTCTTGCCTGATAACAGTGGGATTCAATCCTTGAGATCCAGTGTTTCTTTAAGTAGTAAGGTCTGAAATAAAGACCTTAACTTTTCATTATGTACAGTAAGTGTTTGAGAAGTACAGTGGTTCCTTTACCTTAAAGGAGTTACACACTGAAAAACCAGTTACTGGCTAGTGACGTTTGTGTGCGGAGTTGGCATTGTTATGAAGCTCATGTGGACACTACGGTTGTGGTGCTTCAAGCTTTGCCTGAAGGTATAGTGCTGCTTAGTTGGGCAGAGGCGGTAGAGTAGAGGAGTGGCTGTGTGATGTTCAGGAGCAAAGTAACCTGGAGCCTTCTAAATAGTGAAATTGTTTGAATTTTTTGTTGTTGTTGTTTTTTGTTTTTCAAGATAGGGTTTTTCTGTAGTCTTGACTGTTCTGGAACTTGATTTATAAACCAGGCTGGCCTCAAACTCAGAGATGCACCTCCCTCTGCCTCCTGAGTGCTGGGATTAAAGGCATGTGCCACCACCACCCCAGCTCTGTTTGAAAATTCTTAAGGATTATTTATTTATCCTCTCAAGAAAATTTTATTTATTTATTTATTTATTTATTTGTTTATTTATTTGTTTATTTATTATGTATATGATACTCTGTGTATATGCCTGCAGGCCAGAAGAGGGCACTAGACCTCATCACAGATGGTTGTGAGCCACCATGTGGTTGCTGGGAATTGAACTCAGGACCTTTGGAATAGTAGGCAATCCTCTTAACAGCTGAGCCATCTCTCCAGCCCTTGAGGATTATTTAAAAAGCAGTGCCTTTTAATTAAAGAACAATTAATTAAAGAACAATGCCGTGTAGTACATGGCATGTGGTGAAGGTGTGATTTAGGATCTGTGAATGATTGCTTTGTAGTGTCGTGAAGAACCATCTGAGAGAGTAAACTGGTAATTTCAGGGTGTCATGTGAGCAAATGCACCAATTCTAGGTAGTTTTTGATGATAGAATATTTTTTGTAGTATTGAACTGTAGTTGTGTAAATACCTATAATTGCATTCCTTAAAACTGATTTTAAGAAAAGCCAGAGTTGTACATCTTTGTTTGACTACAACCCACAAGAAGAATATATTTTACTCGGGGTCTAGTACTCACATTAATATAATGTGTACATATAATAGAATAAGGTTCACAAAATATTAGTAATGATGATGATGATAGTTTATAGTGCTGCAATAAATGTAGCAAGTACCACAAATTGTTTTAAGTCAACAACCATTGACTTGCTGACAGTGTGAGCACTTTATTCCAGTAGGTCCTGTCCTATTTGAACATAGACAGACTAGCTTCAGAGCCTCTTTAGTAACTATAGATATGGAAACACCTAACAGGGGCACCTGCCCCTGCTATGTCCTCTTTGTTGACCCCTGGCACCACATTGTTTTTCATTCTCTCCAGTCTTTGCCAGTGATGCTTCCCCTGGTAACCCCACCTGAGGGCTGCTCATCCATCCTATCCATAGCACAGGGGAGTGGTCTCCAGACATTTGCACCTAAGACTGGTATGAGGAAAATGAGAGGAAGGAAGACATTGGTAGCTCAGAGTCACGTTGTCCCCACATGGATTAAACCCTGGAGAGAGCAGAATAGAAGAGCTAGAGAGACGGGAAGGGGAGACAGCTTAGATTTCATTAAAGGGATTCACAGAGCCCTTTTCTCCATGTTCCCTACCCCAAGCTTTACATTTGGGAGAGAAGCCTGCCGACTTCCCGTCTATGGGAATGCTTCTCATGAACCAGCATGTTACATTAGCGATTCTGTGGATGTGGTTCTTTGCTCTCTTGCACATTGGTAGAACGGTGATCAGTGTCAACCTTTGCCTTGAAGATTCTGCAGCAGTAGGGACCTATTCGCAGGGTCATGGAGTAGCCCAGAGATATTTGAGGCCCCTTCGATAATGTTTGCTATAAGGTGGCACTGTAGGGACCAGGACACCTCCTGTTACTCTGTGTTCACAGGCTCAGCCCTTCCCTTCTCCCCAGACTGGCTTTCTTCATATGTCCCTTGCTTACATCCATCCTTTTGACTTACATCAGCCCCTGTTCAACCATCTTACTAGCTACCCTCTTGCAGCACTAGGACCCCCTCCCTACCCCTCATCTACTCCTTTTTTGTCTCTCAGGCAGGGAGGCAAGGTTTTGCTTTGTAGCTCAGACTGGCCTAGAATAGAACTCACTGTGTAGCTCAGTTTGTTATTGAACTCATGACCTTCCTGCTTCAGCTTCCTATAATGCAGGAACTATAGCCTGGTACCAGTGACATCTTTACTAGAACGGTTGTTTCCAAGGTGCATTGTCTCTTTAGCATTTATGTGTCACAAGGCCCCAAAATTGACTTCTCAAGCCATCCTACATTTTGATACAAGAGGACTGAGCTGAGCTCTAATTAGTACTTGGGAATAGAGTTGAGAAGATCACCCTGAGCTATATGACATGAGACCCTGCCTCAACACCTCCCTAGCCTCTACCTCCCTAAAAAACGACCTGGAAGATACAGAGATGAGACCACCATTTTTCATCCTGCTCTTTTTGAAAATTTTATTACATTTACTTAGTGTGTATATGGTGTGTGTGTGTGTATGTGCTCTTGAGTGTTCATGCGCTATGACACATCTTTTGGGAGTTGTTTCTCTCCTTTTACCAACGTGGATCCCAGAGATTGAACTCAGGTCACTCAGGATTAGTGGCAAGCACCTTTACACCATGAGCCATTTGTCAGCCTTGTGTTCTTGCTAAATTTTTTTGTTTTATATTTAAATTTGGTTATTTTATATGTTTGGGCATTTTACCTGCATATATGTCTGTGCATCACATGTGTGCCTGGTGCTTACAGAGGCCAGATGAAAATGTGTTTCAGGGAATCAAACGTTTGCCTGCCTACTGATCCATCACTTGCCCACGCTGCTTTTCTAGAGTTGTTACAACATGACATGAAGGCCCAGATTCTCCAGTGGAACGCTTGGTTGAGTGAAGGAAGGGTCAAGGGAAGCAGTAGGAAGAAGAAAGGAGACTGGAAACAAACTGGAGGTCAGGTGATGTACCAGGGAAGTGGGGCTTTCTCCGTCTAACACAGTGTTTTAATTCACCTGCTGATGTGGCCGCCCTTCATTTTATAGCAGTCGCCGGCAGTGATGTGGACAGAGAGGGTCAGAGTGGAGGCATAGAGTACCTTCTGAAGTCACCCTTGCAGTGAGTTAGGCAGACGGTGAGAGCAGTGGCCGTGAGGCTTGGGAGAAGAGAGCACATTCATTCCTGGCACAGCTGTCGAGGGAGTTGTTGGGTCTTAACTTGGTCCTAGAACTTCCTGTCTACTTCTGCCAGTTCTTTGCTGTGGTCACAGATGACCTTCATGAAACTTTATGGCTAAGTTTTAGGCTTTATTACTCACAACCCAGTGAGATAGAAATAGAACACCATGTTAGGACAGTCCTGCCCTGTGCCTGGAAGATACATTCTTTTAGCCTCCAGTCTGTCCGGTTTGGACAGATGTGGACAGAAGGTAGATTGTCCTACCCTTTTTTCTTTTTTAAAACATTGCCAGAGATTAAGATTTCAGTTTAAAAAAATTAAATTATTAGCTGGTGCTGATGGCGCACACCTTTAATCCCAGCACTCGGGAGGCAGAGGCAAACAGATCTCTGTGAGTTCGAGGCCATCCTGGTCCACAAGAACTAGTTCCAGGACAGACCCCAAAGCTACAGAGAAACCCTATCGTGAGTATTTTGAGACAAGATAGACCTGGCAGGCCTAGTACTCACTAGGTTAATTAGGTTAGTCTCAGAGTTGCAACAATTTTCCTGTCGCCTCCTCTGGAATGCTCATTATTATAAGAGTATGCCACCAGATTGGGCCAGCTCTCATAAGTTAATTATCATATAAGTGTTATTTTATTACTAGGCCACGATACATTAGCACAGCAGTTCTCAGCCTGTGGGTCTCGATCCCCTGGGTCAGTGACCCTTTTACAGAGGTCTCATAGATATCCTGCATACCAGGATATTTACATTATGACTCATAACAGTAGCAAAATTATATTTATGAAGTAACAATGAAAATAATTTTATAGTTGGGATCACCACAACATGATAAACTATGTATTAAGGGTCATAACATTAGGAAAGTTGAGAATCACTGCATTAGTTGTATTTTACCATTGTGGGAAAAGCATATACCCCTTAACCCATCCCTGCTGCTATGGGAAGTCATGTTTAGAAAGTGAAATAAAATGGGAAAGAGCTGAGTTTCAGAAACAACTAACAAATGCTATTTAGTGCTTTGGATATTTATTTATTTGTGATTTTTTGAGGCAAGGTTTTCCTATGTAGCTCTGGCTGTCTTTGAACTCACTTCATAGACCAGGCTGGCCTCAAACTCACAGAGATTCACCTGGTTCTGTCTCTTGAGTGCTGGAATTAGAGACATGCACCACCAAGCCTGGCAGTGCCTTATATTTTAAACAATTTTTAGGGTTACAGGAATAAGGACATACTCTATAGTTTTATCACTGTGGGGAGGGGGACTTATGCATCATGCTGTATTCTGAGTACTTTTGCCTTTGCAGAAATTTCCATATGTATTTAAAATGGATGTTTAATGAACCACTGCTTCTTATGCATATGCCACAATTATCTGGAGTTTATAATCTGTATTGGGCCTTTCCACTGTTCTGAATACTAGGTGAAAGATGTCTGCACTTGAAAAAAGACATGTGTTTAAATCCTTGTAATTATCACCTATTTGTAGTTTAGCATCCTTGTGAGCCTGTGGAAATACTGTGTTTTTCTTGGCACTAACCAAGTGTTACCTTTTACTTCGGATGTGCTATTTAAGTCTTAGTGAAATAATAAATTTGTATCTTTTCTCAGGTATTCTAGGAATAGCAGTCATCATTTCAGCTTTCTGTGTGTGTTCTTAGCTCTGATAATGAATAACATTTTGAGCTATCTAATATTATTGATTCAGTATAATTGATAGAGTAGACAGGAAGTTGTTTACTTCTATGTTTTCTAGTTGCAATTCTTTAGTCTGTGAGACTCTTATTGTAATAGCTCAAACTTCTAAAATTTATAGTAAAGTACTTTTTATCTTAGATTACTTCATTTATTCAAATAAGCCAATTATGTTTGTAAGTGATGTTAATAAAACCAAAATAAAAGATCATATCTACCAAAAAGTGCTTTTTATTATTTATTTCATTTATAAGTATTTTTCTCTCCGTGGAAAGATTGGGTTGTAATTATAAAGAACACTGTGTTAGGAAAGCAGCAGGTCAACCTTGTATGTGGTATCTGAACTGCATTACACACACTCTTAAAGAATTTGTTTGCATTTTCCATCAAAGATTTATGGAGCCATTTTCATATGCCATGTATGAACACATCATGAGTATATCAGTGAAAAGAATCAACTTTTTTTTTTCTTTTAAATAAAGACAGTAGCTCAGGCTGTCCTCATTGTGTAACCGATGGCTGTGAGCTTCTGGTTGGCTTACCTTTGTCTCTCACATTCTGGGATTACAGGTCTGTTACCACACCTGGTTACAAAGCTGTCTTAAAAAAAAACACAGATCCTATATTCTAATAGAAAATGGTGGCATTTATGTTCTTGCTGTTATGGGGATTGAGCCTAAAGCCTTGCATATGCTAGATAGGCAGTCTTTCATGATCCCACATTTTCCAGTCTTAAGAAAATAGGCATATTTAAAATAGTTAATTCAAAGCAAGTGGTTTACTCCTGTAATTCTAGCACCTGGCAGTAGGAGGCAGAAGAGTTTGAGCCCAGCTTGGTTACACATTGGAATATTGTTTCAAAAAATAAATAAGAACAATTAGCACAGGACAGAAGCACCCAGACATATTTCTGTTAGTGTGTTATTGGCCTCAGTATGAATACCATACTTTGCGCTTTTGCATAAGGAATGGGTCGTTTTTGTTTTGTTGAGAATGGTTTTCATGCTATTTGGTTTTGTTTGTTTGTTTGTTTGTTTTTGCTTTTTCGAGATAGGGTTTCTCTATGTATCAGCCCTGGCTGTCCTGGAACAAGTTCTGTAGACCAGGCTGGCCTCAAACTCACAGAGACACAGAGATCCTCCCACCTCTGCCTCCCAAGTGCTGGGATTAAAGGCCTGCACTGCCGCTGCCACCAGCAGCACCACTGTCTCATTATTTAATTCTTTTGCATTGTATGTATCCAGGTGCTGCTGAGATTTGCATCACCGAGCAGCAAAGTGTGTATTGTTCTGTCAGTGACTAGCTAGCTCAGAGCTCCTGTAGCCTTTGATGCAGGTGCTGTGTGGTGTCCAGTCTTGAGCCAAACCAGGTAATTTCCTTCTCTTCCTCAAATTAGGAAACAACAGCTGGCTTTGAGAGGTCAAGGCTGTGCCATTTTAAAATGAATTAAAACACTGTTTTCCCTTTATGTAAGTAATGTATTCATACTACTAAACTAAGAAAACATGGAAGAAGTTGTAATTTCTTGACTATAGGATAGTATAGTCACACATTTTTCAACAAAATTGGGAAACCTACTTTTAATTTCAGTATATTTTCATATGTCTAAAACAAGAATTCCGGGTTGGAGAGATGGCTCAGTGTTTAAGAGTACTGGTTTTGGTGGGGGGTCTTCCAGAGGATCAGGGTTCAGTTCCCAGTGCCCGTATTACAGTTCACACCTGTCTTCCAGTTACAGGGGATCAGGCACCATCACACAGACATACGTGAAAGGCAAAACACCAGTGAGCACAAAATGAAAATAAATCATTAAATTCAAAAAAAATTCCAAAACAAAATAGGAATGTGATGGCTTTATTCTATCAGACTTCAAGAAAATATATGAGTGATTCATGAACATTTAAAAAAATTATTTTTTTAATTTTTTAAATTTTTTTATTTTTTTATATTTTTTAAATTTTTAAAAAACATTTATTTATTTATTATGTATACAGTATTCTGTCTACATGCATGCCTAAAGAGGGCACCAGGCCTCATTACAGATGGTTGTGAGCTACCATGTGGTTGCTGGGAATTGAACTCAGGACCTTTGGAAGAGCAGGCAATGCTCTTAACCACTGAGCCATCTCTCCAGCCCTATTTTTTTAATTTTTAAGACAAGATTTCTCTGTGTAGCTTTGGCTGTCCTGAAACTTACTTCGTAGACCAGACTGGCTTTGAACTCACAGAGATCCACCTGCCTCTGCCTCCTTAGTGCTGCAATTAAAGGTGTATGCTTCCACCTCCTGGCTCGTCCATGTACCTTGTTTCACTATTTGTGGTGGGTTTTCCTTTGTGCTGGCTTCTTGTGGCTTCAGTCACTGGATAGGGAGTTATTAGAGTTCTTTTCCCTTTTTGGTCATGTGTCAGTGTGTTAATTATGTTTTAGTTATATTCATGCTTAGCCTAAAAGTTGTTGAAATTGGTTAGATAACGAAGCTAAGTGTTTCTGAAATTTGATTCTATATATTTACATAGCAGTACCACACACCCTCATGTAGTGTGAAGTCCTTTTGTGTGTGGAACTTACGTTAGCAAATAGAAAATGATCTTAAAAAGATCTTTTCAATACTAAAATGGGAGAACATCAAGGTAGCATTTCTGTAACATATTGGTATGTCTTAGTTGAAGCTCCTGATTTGCCCCCCCTACCCTGTCCCTCCTGCAAGACTCTGGTTTTGTTTTTGGCTTTTCAACACAGTGTTTCTCTGTGTAGCTCTGGCTGTCCCGGAACTCACTCTGTAGCCCAGACTGGCCTCAAACTCACATAGATCGAGCTTCTTCTGCCTCCCCAGCACTGGGATTAAAGGCCACTACTGCCTGGCAATAGTAAGGTTCTTTTTGTGGAGATGAAGGGGTGTTGAAATAGTCTTTTTATGTAGTCCTGGTTGGCCTTGAACTTGGGATCATTCTCCAGATGCTGGGATCATTCCTGATGTGTGGTTCATTTGAAGTGTCATTCACACTTTCTATCTATCTATCTATCTATCTATCTATCTATCTATCTATCTATCTATC